ATTCACATAATTTTCCTTTGTTTTTCACTAAAAAATAGCACAAGTATCTATAATAGCTGACCACCCACATGTGCATTTACCCTACATTTGCCATTACACTGTGATGCATCAAGTCGCCCACGTGGCTTCTGCTCTAGAGTCATGGAGTAAGGAGTTGATCCTTACGTCGTGGGTTCGAATCCAACTGTGGGACATGGAGACCGGTCCTTCGGATGAGACCTTATAAACCGAGGTCCCGTGACACAGTAGTAAGTACCGTAAGTACCGAGTATATTACAAAATTCACAGCTCTCCACCAGCAAGTGGTGGTGTCTCCATATGTTTGTTTGTTTGTATGTTGTTTAACATCCCTCTCAAGAATTTTTCACTCATATGGAGACGCCGCCACTTGCCAGTGGGGAGCTGGAAATTTTGTCCTATACTCGGCACTTACGGCCATTGAGCAGTGAGGGATCTTTTTCATGCCAGCACCTACTGCGACACGGGACCTCGGTCTATACAGTCTCATCCGAAGGACCGGTCTCCACGTCCCACAGTGGGATTCAAACCCACAACGTAAGGATCAACTCCTTACTTCGCGACTCTAGAGCAGACGCTCTAACCACTGCACCATGCGGTGTCTCCATATGAGTGAAAAATTCTCAAGAGGAACGTTAAACAACATACAAACACATGCATCAAAATTTAATTCGAATTAGATTAGCTTGAAGCGTTCACGCAGAGCTAATGCGAAGTAATTTAATGTGCAGTAAATTAACTTGCGTTTAATTTGAATTAAACTCTCCATGTGAACAGGGCATATAATGATACCCTGTTCACAAGGAGAGTTTGATTTGAATTAAACACAAGTTACTGCGAATTAAATTTGAAGCGCATTCACATGGAGAATTTAGTGTGAATTAGTTTAATTCGAATTAATTTACTGCGCATTAAATTACATTGCATTAGCTCCATGTGAACCCTAAGCGAAGCTAATTCAAATTAAATTTTGACGCATGCGTAGGCCAGAATTAAGTCAATTGAAAGGCCACATGTCGGTGGTTAGATTTATGTATCTGTGCTATTTTTGGTTGAAAAAAAAGGAAAGTAATGTAAATCACTAAAATGTATACAGTCACTATGATTATATATGTTATGTCAAATGATCTGCTCTGCATACATGACATGATTTACAAATGATGTCATAATAGCCTTACTGAAAAGCTATCATAGCCTAGAAACAAAATTTTAATTCGCATCAGCTTACTTCGCTTTTGCTGTTATCCAAATGCATTCTTATTCGCATTATTTTAATTCACATTATTTCACTTCGCATTAATTTACTGCGAATTAAACTCTCTGTGTTAACAGGGCATTAGACATATAGCAAAAGGGATTTACTTAATACAATAATGACCTACCTCAATGTTACTCAAAATGCACTTATTATCTAGTGTTAAAGAGCAAAATAATTGAATATTAAGTTATTGTTTTCATAATTGTTTATATATATAAAAGAAACTCAGGGTGAAGCATCCAGTGATTAAAAAAGCTACCACATTACTGATATGACAGTTCAATTCATTAAGTGACAATTATGTTTTCCACATTTTTTCTTAATTATTATCATTTTACAGCATTCCTTAAAAAATCACATTGCATGGTCTCTCTAAGGTCATGTGTTAGGAATAAAAATTTTTATTCAAAAAGATAATATGGATGAAAACATCTTGTACAAAATTTATTAATGATAAAGTAAACATTTATCACATTTTCACTGTCAAACCAGCCTTATTTGTCATTTTCTCCAAATTGTGAGCCTTATATATCTCAACTGACATCCAGTACAAAAAGATGAAAAATGAAATTCCCAAGAATAAATTTATATTTATCCCAATTTTTATGTGAACACATTAATTTCAATCTTAAAAAATCTTATGAAAAAAAACAGAATATAAATATAAATACCAATTTAAATTGTTATGAAGGACATATCAAATCAGGTCATTATACCCCAAATCAGGACATTATACATGTACTCCTGTCATTTTTATTATGTCCAATAAAAATTTTATATATTTTATTTTGCATATCGCCATGATTCTTATAGAGAATAATAATTTTATTATTATTTCCAATAAAAATGATATTGTTTGTGCACCTAAAAACTATTTATTACAATCAGTCAGGACATTGTACTATAAGGGCATTATACACATCCGATGTAAACAGCTTACTCAGGTAAGGCATAATTTTGGGCAAGAAAAAATCGCATCCTTGTTTGATTCCTTGAAATGAATTTGTAATTATGTTCTGCAGACTTGAAGTCTTTCTAAAGACACACTACATCTGCGCAATTTCTTGTCGAATGTTTTATATCTGTTATTACGACAGATAAGACTTTCCGAATTGCCTAGGTTTCTTATTTCAGCTGTTTAGCATGTTTGGTGTGTTTGTTTATATACGAACAATTTTTAAATTAAGTTCTGCAAAGTTCATTATAATTGCATATCATATGATATGATTCTTTTTAAAGCAGGCCGGGTGCAATGTATTTAATTTTTGTATCCTAATCTTTTCAATCAGACATTTGACATGTATTGTGGCAGATGTAGTTTATTTACGTTTTCTTAAATCTTTTCATTTCGATCCCGATGTAAATTATTTATCTTATATGTGGAAACGCCCACTTTTGTCTAGTAAGTTCTTTGACAGTTCCTTTTGTTCTCATTTCCATATAAAGCTATACAGCTAGCTATCAGATCATCAGGGAGGGAGACAGCTGACTTTGCTAGCTACACTCTTCATATACTGGAATCATTTTCTCGTTTGTCTGTTTATATTGCTTTTATAATGTAACATGACTGTCTAGGGGTCAGTCCCATACATAATCCGAGTTCGGAAGGATGAAAGAAAACAAGAATTTCAGTGTTTAAAGACTGAAGAATTAGATTCTATATTCTGTTAAAATAACAATCATGTAAATCAAACGTAAAACATATGAAACAATATCACCTACGATCCAAGAGTGTGATAATTACCATTATTGTAGATAGAAATTTAGCCTCGATCCTCGAAATATGTCTATAATCGATAATCAATAATAATATCGACTGCTGCTGATTATACACAAATGCATGTATAATATGATAAATCCCGGCCGGGTACTATAGACCTGGGCGTGCCTAATCCGGACGGGTTATAAACAAAGGGGAATACATGTAACTCCATATAACAAGTTAAGACAAATAGGGGAAATATGAATGAAATATGTCACGTACAGATAAATAAATATATACACACATAATAAATACACTTCAAACCATCACAATAGATTAATATTTGGGTTAAGTTAGGCAATATTTTGGTTGGGGAAATTAGGTTTCCACATTGTACATTAATTATAACAGTTTTCTGTTTTCTGTAAGACTGGTAATAAATTTGTAAGGTCGTTATACCAATATCGAATATTGAACTAACAGAACAATACATAGAATCACGAGTACCTTGCAGTTATCTTACTTACTACTGCTCTTTTGTGGGGGAGTCGAGGAAGCTCTAAATCTTGCAAGATTTCTGGGGCATAACATTGTTTACAGCAGTGACAATCAAATGATTTGAACAATAAGCAGTGATGAGTATGCAGAAAGTACAATGTATTGCCAAGGATTGAACTCGAAATAGTAGCTATTTTGTCAAATAAGGAAAGTTTAAAGTATTTTATGAACTGTAAAAAGTAACAATTTTCAATGAGAATTTCATGAGAAGAGTCCACTTAGTGAAAAGTATCGCTAAAAATGTAAAAATTTGAGGATTAGCTCCTCTCTCAGATTTATTAGGCTGGTTCAGCATATGTTTAGCAAGATATTTCACCAGGATTTCTTTCTTATAAATTCCACAATGATCGATCTTGCATTGTATTCAATAGCACATTTGCCCCAATCCAACAGTCGTTTCCTACCTTCACCGCAAAAGAGTTCTGCTAAGTTAAGTATATGCAAAATCAAGTATTGACTTTTTCATCAAGTTGTGTGCAATAATCATTGAGGATTTGTTAAAGAATATTTTTGTTTGTTCCCTTTAAATCCTACAAACTGAGACCCTTTTCGATGTAAATTGTAAGTAAACAGTTATGATAACAATAATCATTGCGAGTACAGGGAGTAGCGCAAAGCCCCGCTCATCACTGGGAGCTCTTAATACAACGCGTGGGTGAAGAGAAAATTTGGACATTGCACATTGATCCAAACAAATTTTTTTTCCACAGTAACTTCTGGACCCACAATGCATTGCTTGTTAAATTACCTTCTCACAAGAATAACAAAAAAAGTTCAACAAATAATAAACTCACCTTTATTTATTGGATATATTGCAGATAAATAGCCAATAAACATTCTTCATTAAAATAAGCACTGTTCTTTCTTCAGTTTAATGGTAACGAAACTTACATACCACATCATGTGCCGTCAGAGTCTACACGCACCAAATGTCACGTGCGGTTTATAGAGACAGGCCTAAATACAATGATAAACAGTACACTGAAAAAGTATCTGCGCTTGCCCTAATGGTCGCATGATTAACATTTTATGATTGAATAATTCTCAGGTTTTTGATTGTCTGATAGCCAACATTTTAGAAATCAAAAAATGTTATACTGTAGACGTATTACATTTGGATGTGTATTTTTTTTAGTGCCTTTGGCTGAAAGAATCTTCTGTTAATTCAAGTACAATGCTAAATGTCTTGCAGCACATAATTATTCATGATTAAGAACATTAAGAAATGTGCTAAATCAAATCTAAGCTAACTTGCTCAAAAGTTAATTTCCCTCAAATATCGTACATGTACACGCTAAATAGAATACATTTACAGTATTCACCTGCATGTTATCTTCCAGATAAATATTATTGAATTCATGTACAATTATTGACTTTTGATGAGGTCTACTCATTACTATACAGACCTGGTCAGGTATTAGTTAACTGAGACCGAAAGCTATTCAAAATCAAGAGCCGTTTTATCAAAAGATCTGGAATTTACTACATTTTTGACACTTTAGTTCTTGTCTCCAGCAAATATAAACACTCATGATATAATGCATAGTGTAACTTAACACATTATAATTGTAATTGATCAGCTTAACAAATGTTTAAAAGTGGAAAAAAAATATTAAACAACAGATACTCAACTATTTACTAAGAAATTAGCTTAGTGTCTCTGCATCTAGCATGTTAACATTTAAAACGACACGTTTTAAAAACATGCACTTTGATTGGTCAAAAATGTTAGCAAATCTATGAATAAATAAATTCAGAATTAAATTTATGAAATTTTTTTGTTAGAATGTTTGAGGCAAACAGAAGATGCATGGAATCCCCCCTGAACATGGAGACAGTACAGTTACATGCATTATCAAAGCTGGATTATTAGGTGCTACATTTAAACTCAACCATAAATATTTGCTTATTTTTAAGGTAATGAAATATTTCAAACTGAATTTGTTGTATCATTCAACATTTAATGTCCTGTATTGCTTTTTTTGGTGTAGTATGTATGTATGTTGTTCTACGTCCCGTTCGAGAATTTTTCACTCATATATATAGAGATGTCACCATATACCGGTGAAGGGCTTCAATTTTGACCTTTACTCGGCACTCGGGGCCATTGAACAGTGAGGGATCTTTATCGTGCCAACGCCTGCCGTGACACGGGGCCTCGGTTTTTAAGGTATCATCCGAAGAACCCGCAACTTTCACTTCAAAGTGCCGAGTGCATGTCGAAGAAACAGTTGCTACCCATTTTTTATCGACTTAGGTCAGTCGCGGCTGAGATTCGAACTCACAACCTCCTGATCACAGAGTGAGCGCTCTACCAACTGAGCTACCGTGAACGTTCTTTTGGTGTAGTAGTTATAAGCTTTTAAAGCATATTGTTTTCAAAGAAACGAAAAGAAATTAAAAAATGAAAAGTAATTTATGCTAATTTTAATAGCCTACACTTTAAAAAGATTTCTGTATTTCCTCCTCTGAACCGTAGAGATTAGACATGTCAATTGATATACTCTATATTATACAATTCGGTGGTTAACGATGCAACATAAGAATTCAAGTGCATAGTGTTGCCAAAGTACCTTCAGAAGTTGTAGTCAAACCTTCCGGGGTAAAAATATCATTTTCATCCTCTTCTTTTCATACTTGATTGCCAAAGCTTAATTATGACTTTTATGAAGTTTTTCTTTTCCAATTTAGGTATACAGAGATCCCTTGAAGAAATAAAGAACAGCTTTTAATTAGAGAATTATCTTTTAATACAGTTACAAAGCTGTCAAACCATGATGAGTAAAAAAGATGCAAGGAAATTTGTTTACAGCCTTCCAGGTAATAATAAAATAATTCAATCTTCCAAAAGAGATTTTATCTCACTCAAGCAGAAGACTCAAGTGAGCTTTTCTGATCAAAAAGTGTCCGATGTCTGCCTATCTAGCTGTCCGTTAACCTTCTGTCCATCTGTCTGTCATGTTGCTGCAGAACTGTATCTCTCCAAAAAAAAAAGTATATTGTCAGACTGGAGAGCTACAGTGCCACCCATTAAGAAATGTGTATATTTACTGCACCAAAAAAAAAGTAAGCAGAATCTCGATTTATTTCTCTGTTATCAACTGCAATCTAAAAATACTATTAACCCTGTGTTTCTAACATATTTTTGCACTTTTTCCACAACAAAACATTCTTTACAACCATTGTTAATCATATCAATAGCCCTCCTGGGCCTGAAATTGAAACCATTGAAAATTTTGTCTATTTATTCTGCCATCTTGGGTGGCAAGGTAATTCGGTCCAACGCACTTCTTGCAGATGTCAACTACAAGAGTAGCTGATAGAGGTCTAAGGAAAATTTTGAAATCCAGGTTTTGTGCAGTTGAGGTAAAAATTTAGAGAAATTAATTCAGAACCGAGCGCAACTTTTTGTGTGCAATAAATATACACTTTTTTTCTATGGGTGGCACTGTAGCTCTCTGGTCGTCTATCCCAATTTTTTCAAACCAGCAAGTTACAGATCAGCAGCTTTCTGTCATGTTGTCTGTAAACTTAATTTTTACATTTTCAACTTCTTCTTCAGAACCACTGGGCCAATTTCAACCAAACTTACCTCAAAGCATTCTTGGGTGAAAGGAATTTAAGATTGTTTAGAGGAAGTGCCATGCCCCCTCTTAAGGGGAGATAATAAGGAACTCATGAAAATTTGAATTTTAAAAATTTTCTGCTCAATAACCACTTGACCAGAAACGATGAAATTTATGTGAAAGCTTCTATTAAAAGTTTGTTCAAATCATGACTCCCAGGGGTAGGATGGGATCATAAGAAGGGATCAGAGAATTACATAGGAATATGTAGAATTATCCTCAAAAATCTTCCTCCTAAAAACAGCAAAGCCATTATTAGTCGTTTTTTATACAGAGGCATCCTCAGGTAGTGAAGATTCAAATTTGTTTAAATCATAACCTCCGGGACTAGCATGGGGCCACAACAGGGGATCAGGGTAATGCATTGGAATATATAGAAAATATTTTTTTAAAATCTTCTTCTCAAGAACAACAAAGCCATAATTTCATATTTTTTTTAGAAACTTTAAAGGTATTGTAGACACAAATTTGCTAAAATCATGCCTTGGGAGAGGGGGGTGGTTAAGGTGGGACCACAATAGGCAGTAAAAGTTTTATAATGGAATACATATGGAAAATGTCTTTAAAAATCTTCTTCTTAAGAAGAGGAAAATTTATATGAAGTCATATTTATATGGAAGCATTCTCAGGTAGAGTAGATTGAAGGTTACATGTATTCAAATCATGACCCCCTGTGGTAGGGTGGGGCTATAATATGTGATCAGTTTTACACAAGAATAAATAGAAGAAAGAATCTGCTGACGGAGAACAGAAGGGCCATAGTTAATCAGGTGAGCATTATGGCCCATGGGCCTCTTGTTTGTTCAATATTTACATTAAGAATGGTTGTGTAGAAATCATTAAGATTCACCTGTTATGTGTCATATTTTTATGACGTCGAGCTCTTGGAGCTCGAACGTCATCTAGCAAGCGCCCAGTATGAAATCGCGACCGGATATGTACGCGACCGAATGTGTCAGTCGATGCATCCGCAATAGAAAATAGCAATAGCTATAAACCAATTTCTTTGAAAACGCTCACAATGAATAATAGCTTGAAAATAAAATTGCATCAATTATATCTGCAATTAATTCTATTGCAAAACAACATTATGTTTTATTCTCACTCAAGAAAAACGTAATGGTTGTTGCGGATGAATTTCTACAGAAAGGGTGCGTTAAATGACATGAATAACATTTCGGAACGATAACCGTGTAACATAAACAACACAACGGAGGTAAAATAATTACAAAATTACATAAACACGAATACTACAAGACTAAAAAGATTGAATTTCTAAATCTTAGCTTTACTTATACAATCTTCTAACCAACTCTATCCTAAAAACCGATGATATTGACCAGTATTACTGTATTTCTCTATTTCCTCCATTTCCCAGTATACCGTATACCACGCCCGATCGTAACTCGATCGTAATTGTAACAGGACAGTCTTGGTTGTAGTTTAGATGCAATTACTAATACAACGCTTTGACATTGGCAATTAGAAAAAATATTATATAAATTCATGAAATCCTTCATAGTTCTTCAGCTGACTGAAAAGAATTTTGCATGAACATGTTCGACGGTGCCTGGTCAATTCGAACCCTGCTTCATTCGGACCATGACATAAGGCCCCGGACTGTAATTGTGATATTTTGTTTAAAACTATTTTTTTATTATTTCTCCTGAGTCACTCACTTGACTTATTGCTATCTTCAAATTCAAAATGATCTTTTGAAATTGTTTTTCTTCTTCGACGTCATTGAAGCCTTTCAGGCTTTTGATTTAAGTTAAAAGTTAACAGTAAATATTGTTTGTTTATCAACAGATTCAGCAAATAATGCTAGAGAATGAGTTAATGCAAGACCTAATGATGGAAATGTACCAGGTTCCATGGCTAGGAGAATGTCAGAAAGCCTCATCATTAGTGTGTTACAGGTAAAAAATTTTTTAGGAATTTAAGAAATAAATAACAGCTAGTGTTAAAAATTCACTAGGAAATGAATTTGGTTGGTTCACGATCACATCTCTTGAGAAGCCTGAAAGTCTCATTGATGAAAGTGTTATCATGCTGGTTTCCCAGGTGCCTATAACACTGATATCCTACATGTAGGTCCCAGTCAAGCATCTGCTCTGCTCAAGGTTCTAGGAGTGAAAAATGTTGGTTTAGGAATAAAGTGGCATCAGGTATTGCTTCTGTCATAGAATCTTCTTTTTAAGAATTAATTAACCCCTTAGTCAGTATTAGGGGTATATAGTTTTTGCCCTGCTTATTGATCTTGTTTGTCTGCAAAAATTTAACCTTGCCCATAACTTTTTTAGTAGATGGAACTATGACATTCATATTTCACAGGTCACTTGTGACAATACCTTTCTTTGGGTATCACTTAATTTGACCTCTTGACCTTGGAATTTGACCCACTTACACAAAAAATTACCAAATTTTAACCTTTGCAATAACATTTGAACGGTTGTGCTAGGGCTTTCATCCTTCACTTGTATATTCATTGTGGTAAGACCTTTTAATGGGCATAAATATTTTTGACCTTTTGACCTTGACCTTAGAGTTTGACCCACTTTTTGAAAACTTTAACCTCGGCTATAATTTTCAACGGTTAGCACAAGGGCTTTCATATTTCACAGGTGTATTCCTTGTGACAACACCTTCCTTTGGATACCAACAGTTTGACCTTTTCACCTTGACCTTAGAGTTTGACATGTATTTGAGAAACTTCAACCCTCACCCTACGGGGGCATCAGTGTTTCACAAACACATAAATTGTAGCTTTAACAAAGACACACTGTTGATAATTTTTTAAGATGACATTTTATTTACAAGTTATGCTGGGGGGTTCTGTTAAAATATTCTGTTTACATGAGGTCATGATGAACAAAAGAAGGTAGTACACAGTGTTTAGACTGGCAGCAGAAGTGATATGGTATCATTATTTTCTTATACATATACAGTAAAACACGCTTTAGCTTATAATGAATTCAAGCTAATAGCAAAGTGATTTTTATTCTCTTTTTTTTTTTTTAAACATATTACACTGTACAACTCAATGTATACATGAATAATGATTTACCTTAAGTTTTTAACAAAGCAAAATTGTCTGTCCCTAGCACTTTGATATAGGCTTGTTTTTCTGACTAACTGTACAAGTATTTATTCCACCAGTTCAAATTTTAATATGAATTGTATACCTTTTATGCTTTTGATAACTGTGATTTAATGTAGAATTATGTCCACAGCATTTTGTAATCTTTGCAAAAACTATTAGAATTATTATTAGTCCCCCACCTGTGAAACCAGAGGTGACAATAGGTTTCACCATGTCTGTGTGTCTCTCTGTACATCTCTCTGTCTGTCCATATGTATGTCTATCAGTCTGTCCCACTTGGTTTACCACACTTTTTTTCTAAACGCTTGCAGATATTGAGATGTTTTTTGGTATGTGAGTCTAACTTGATGAATTATAGATTAAGTTTGCATTATGATTTTTTGACGGAATTATGGCATTTTCAATTTTAAATGGGAACCAGATTACACTTGCTGGTAGGGGACTAGCATTGCAATTGCAAAACTCTCAGAATGCTTGTTCTGGTTGAAATGTTTGTGTTTTTAGTCCCCTACCAGTGAAACCGGAGGGGACTATAGGTTTCCTCTGAGTCTGTCTGTCCGTCTGTCTGTCTGTCAGTCAGTCACACTTGGTTTTCCGCACTTTTTTCCTAAACGCTTGCAGATATTGAGCTGATTTTTGGTATTGAGTGTATCTTGATGAGTTACAGGTCAAGTTTGCATTTTGTTCTGCTTCATTGATTTTTGACGGAATTACGACCTCTTCAATTTCTAAGGGTTTTCCACAATTTTCTTCTAAACGCTTGCAGATATTGAGCTGATTTTTGGTATGTGACTTTACCTTGATGAGTTATAGATCAAGTATGCATTTCGTTCCACTTCATTGATTTTTGACGAAATTATGGCATTTTCAAATTTTAACGGAAACCAGATTACACTTGCCGGTAGGGGACTAGTATTGCTAATGCAATACTCTCAGAATGCTTGTTACAATAAAGTTGCATTTTTTTCAGAGGCAGTGAAGGAAATCGATGGTGATGTTTCTTGTGTTGGTGATGAGAATCAGAGTGAGGAGGAAATGGATGACAGTCAAGACAATCATGATTTCCACACTTTAACTCCAGGTACTGTATACACACTACATTACTGCATTACCCATCTTTAAGCAATAACTTCCTTTTCTTGATATTATAAGCAGAAGCCCTGAATGCGTAGCATTGTTAAGGCTGCATAAAGGGGGTGGGGCCTAATTTTTATGGGAAAAGTTTACTATGACATCACACAAAAATAGTTATTCCTCATAATACCAGAAAATGAAATAATTTGCAATTTTAAACTACCTTAACATAATAAACAACATGAAAACTACCAATGCATTAGTTTTTGTTGCTAGTTAAATCCCACAGAGCAGGTTATTAACAAATTACTGATTGCAGTGAACTTGTCGACATGACATCATTTTGGTAAAAATGACATATTTCATGTGCTGTGAGAGACAGAACGAAGATTTTTTTTACAGTGAAAAATGTATTTTATTATTGAACAGAATATTATTTACAGATTTCAGACAGGCAAGTGATACAAATGTAAAACCTTTGTTTAGTGCGATTATTCAATAATTATACAGAAAATGTATTTAATAAATTCTTCCGTGTTTTTATGTACAAGGTTCCGGACCTATGTTTAACATCGAGGTGCCTAATTAAATCATTTTTTCGCAAAGGCATACACTTAATAGATCTTAACCGTTTTTCGAATGTAAATAAAGGATATTTTCCTTAACTTGAAAAGTGCTGCTGCTTTCCCGAAATCAAGAGCATTATTTAATAAATGCATAAAACACTTTGTAAAGGTCACACATATTTCAACTTGAGCTACATAACATGAATTTTTCCTTATAAAATGCAAATTCTAAAGCAGCAGAACTTTTCAGAAAGTACAAGGTATATAGAAATAATTTATAACTTAGATTTTATAATGGAACTAGGATATTCCCTTGCGATATTGAAATTTGTGTATGACCTACATGTTGTACACATTATATGTAGTTATCACGTGACTTCCAAATAAGGTTACCAAACTAGATTCAATATAGAGTGGGGTATAGGCCTACAATATTATTTTTATTAATTTTTAAGTCCTCTGGGAATATAATAGCTTTACAGAAATAAATCAGCATTAAAAAGTTATCTATTTGTACATGCCTATTTTCCATTGATTTCTTCACAGTATGCCTTAACAGTGCTGCGTGGTCTACATGCATGAAAAATGTGTAGTTCTCAATACTGGATATTGAGTATGAACAGAAGAGCTTCAGTATAAGTGACAAAAAGAGTGGTTATATATTCAAGGGTAGACCAAGGTATATTCTGAAATAAGTAATTTGCGTTGGTGGAACTTTACCAATATTAGAGTCATCGCATTTCACACAGATGTCTTCTGAATGGAGATGGAAGAGTGAGATTAAATTCCAAATAGAACAAAATATTGATCTAAAACTGAATGTAAATTTAAGTAGCCAAGCACGCAAGTTCACAGATCATTCAAATAATGAATGTACCTATTTAATACATATATATTAGTGAACAATCATTCTCCTACCAAATTGTATTTCAGATGCCGAAAAGTTCTTCACTTTTCACAAAATACTTAGCCAGTCATGATAAGCCACTTTCAGAGCTATTTGCTTTATTTTTGTACAGACAAAAGTATAAACAGAAGAAAAATTATATTCTGAAAATTTGATTTTAAGGAAAAGGAAGCCACTTTCTGATCACAGATCCACAACAGAAATGGAAGATTCTGCATGCAAGTGACAGAAGATACAAAAAATCCCATGGACATCATGTGAAATGATTTTAATCAAAAAACATTTCAGAAAAGATTACAAAAATGTAATAAGAACTTAGATAAGTGTTAAAGACCAAGTATATTATCTAGTTTAAAAAAAAAAAAAAACAGAGAAAATCTTGATTTACACACTAATTTCAATTGATATATTTTTGAGAAAAATGATAAACACTGTGTTTTGGAGCCACAATTAGCAGTATTGGGGGTTAAATTGTTTGCAGCAGTTTTATCATTATGAAACCTGCATGGACCATGATACTTGCATGACTGAAGAGTGCAGAAGAAACTGCATGATGTGTGTAGCAAATGATTTTGAAGTACATGTATTAAATATTCTGTGCAGAAGGAAATTTTTTCCTTTTTTTTCATGAACATGTTTTCAAGTATCGCATGACCTTTCTGAAAGTGAAAAAAAATGTGCATGTCCCAATTAAGTTTGATCAAGTCTCCAAATAAAGTTATATGCAGAAATTCTTTTTTTATTTATCCGCTATGGTATTGTTTATGAAATCTACAGTGAAATGTATTTTTAAGTGAGTTGAATTGAATATAAAGAGTTGGGTTCACTTTATGCATAAGATAGCCCTGTCCTTATATCAGTTAATTGTCCATCACCCTCTGTCCCATTTCTAACATCCAAATAAAGCTGAGAGTGCCTTTCATTCCTTTAACAAAGTTTCTTAAAGAGTCCTGAGATTGGAAATTAAACAAGCTTTGTAAAATTGCAAAGTTCTTGAACTTTTGCAGAAAACAGGCTTATTTGAAAGAAAACTAAATACAAGCTTACTCCTCAACCCAAAATATAAAAACATGTTTTTCAGAAACAGATCCTTATATATTTAATATCCTCTGCATGGATTAGAGATTGCACTCTATATGAAATATTTTTGAAAAATGCTATAACTTTTGTCCGTTGTTGAAGGAATTTTCAGGATATGGGGAAAATCTTTCCTTTATATTGATGTTTGAAATAGGACCCTGGGACTTTGTCAGTTAATTGGTA